CTGCAAGTCTTTGACTTTCCATTTCTTGTGTGCCACAAGTTGCTATGTGATGCATGCCAGGCATCACACTCCACTAACCTCAAACAGGCAATGGAGGCCTACAAAGAATCACATATCTCAGGCTTCGTTAAGTCCATTAATTTACTGGCCCTGATCTCGCAGATGGTAGAAAGAAGAAAAAAAACACCTCAGAATCTAAACATGTGTCGGCTTTTTCTGAACAGATTATGTTTTGATACTGGCTAGCATCTCAGCTGAGTTTTTGCATGATAGTAGAAAATAGGTGGAATTCAGGTGCTCTCTTAACGTAGATAGCCAAAAAAGGGTATCTCTTCCATGACCTGTTTCTCTAACATGGACAAAACTGTTTATCTAATGTGGACAAGCCTGACTTTTGAACATCCTAGTGTTTCTCTCCCATAAAAATACCCACATTTCTATAGTGAAGAGAATGGATAAGAATACCAAGACACTGCTTTGTGTAGTCAGCAAGTTAATGTTTGACACTGCACATAAAGGGCAATATATAAATGCACCCAGCCAGAAAGGTTATCTGTTAGCTTTTTTTCAACTTCATTGCTTGGTTTACTAAACAGCATTACCTCTCTATAATCCTTGCCTGAGCTCAAGACAACAGTGTTGGCAGTTGAATTAGAGGTCTTTGAGGTCTTTTCCAACCTTAATGGTTCTACATTTACAAACTACATTTATCTGAATTTCTGTTTAGTATTGTAAGGTTCTTTGACAAAATATATTATGAAGAAAGAAAAGAAAAAAAAAATCTCTAATTTCTGTATTTGTTTACCTGAACTTTCGATACACTTTTCAACATAGGCTTCATGTCTTTGTATACATGAAAGTAGGAAAGCGTGGTTGTTAAACCACAAGAAATTGCTAAGGGTTATCAAAGGCAGCCAGAATACTTTTCATTCCTTTAATTCTATACACACATACACACCCTTTCCTATACACACAGGTATGAACACATAAGTAACCAGAGACATTTAAAACAGACTGTTCTTTCAAAATAGTTTTTGCAGAATTAACACTACATAGCAAGAATCAAGAACTCCAGAAGGAAGAATCAACCTCAGTTCTGTGCAGTGGGTGTGCTTTCCAAATGGCTATGCATATTAGATGCAAACGTGGCAGACTGAAAAACCCATCCACAAGTATCAGCATGTCTCTGTCTCATCTAGGTGTTCTACTGCAAAACAGTGCCAAAACTGACACTAATAGATCTGGAACAACCTAGAGGTGATCCCACCACATTTCTGAGATCCAGCATAATTAATTACAGCAAGCTTCAGACTCCTGCTTATTACACTCAACAACCAGTCTCAAGTTATACAAACAAGAGAGCCCTGACCAGAGAACACGTTAAGAAATACAACTCATTTTTCCATTATCTATTACTGAACAACAACAGGAAGTTGTACCCAAACCACACAAGAGGAAGAATGTCAATGCAACCATGCAAGAACTCCAACATAGCATGCTGACAGCTTGCTCTGCACACAAAGGCAGCATGGTGATGGATGGCTGTCTCCTACACAGTTTGTGAGCAAACAGGGCATCATCAGAAATAGTGCTTCTCACACCTATGGACAGATTCTATTACTAGATGCTGAACCAAAAACAGAACATGACCCAGGGCTTTGTTAGAAGCTGGTTGGTATTTTTCTTTTTTTCTGGGTCATTTTTATTTCCTCCAGGTAGTTAGAAACAATTACTACTCTCTTCAAAAGTGTTTTCCCAGAAGATAATTACCCCATTTAGCGCGTACCCAATTCTAGATAAACCTTATTTCTCAGTATAGAAATACAGCCAGTATAGAAATTCAGACAACTGCTTCCTAGAATAGCAGAAGAAAAAAAAAAAGAAAAAAAAAGAAAAAAAAAAATTAAAAAATACACTCCAATAACACTACCAAGTTGCTTTTTATGACAAATCTCTGCTATTACCAGATAGTTGTTTCTAGTATCAGACGTCCACATTAAGCTGCCAGCTTTCAGGTTGGTCCTGCCTGTGACCATTTCTCACTAATACAGGTTAACACCAACTAATTCCTTTAAAATATCTTTCTTTTTTTTTTTTTTTCTGTAGTTAAGAACACTCTCTTTGATCAGTCGTGATTTTGTGTGAAATCCAGTGCAGCTTTTTCTCCCACTTTCTGTGATTATCTTAAAAACACAAGTAATAAAAGCAAACATCACCATTCCTGTAGCTGTGAAGAAGAAATGTGATGGAACTTCTGTAGCATCCCTAATAGAAAGCTGGTTACTGCAGACGCTGAAAACCTTCAAAACATACATTCTTGAGTTCTTCCTCTCAGACAGCATGTACTGGAATTAATGAGTTTGACATGAACCACTGGATTTCACCTTTCTCACTTTTTTTTTTAATAACTGTAATTGCCACATCCCTTCTGCACTTGCATTCTGATTGCTAGCTCCTCCTGCAGCATATGAAGGCTGCGTAGCAGCATATTTAGGTCACAGTTCTGATATGCCATAGGATATGCAGATATCCTACAAACCTGTTCTAAACAGCCTACAACTCACCTTACAGAGTGGCTAAATCAGATACAAAATAATTCAAATATCTCAAAAAAGGCAAGATCAGAAATCTTCATACCTTAGCTTCTTAGGATTCTTCTACCTTAAAAAAGCCATCCATTTTACAGATAAAGGGACGTCAGTTTGCATGTGTTTTTAGTAGGCTTTGGAAAGCAGTGAATGAAGTGAATATAAAAGGAACATATGGGAATAACAAAATAAATGTAGATTCAGTTGGGCATTATGAACATCAAGACAGTTTTAGATCTCACCAGTTACAATGAGTTCAGCATATTCAGGATTTACACTAGTTTTAGCAAAGGTCATGTTCTGGACTAATTAAAGTCAGAATCACAATGGGAGAATATGAGTATCTGATAATCATCCTTCTGTTAAAGATAAATAGAAGATCCATCTGCATCCTGTTTTCTAAAATTTGGCAGATATGGTTTCAGGCAAGCTGCTACATAACTGCTTTCATGAATGTGTCAAAAAAATCTGAAAACAGCTAAATATATACATATGTGTGCTCCAAACAGCAAAACTCAATTTAAAATGCAAAACTGATCATTAGGAACTCATTTTTTCATAATAGAGGCTTGATTGTGAACACTGGTTTGGGAAAAAAGAGAATACAAGTTACGACACTTTCTTCATTTAAGCAGAGTCTGAAACAGTATGACATAAAAGACAGCAGTACAAAGCGTACAACACAATACTGCATCCATTGCATTTAGCCTCTGAATCTGCATTCTACCAGCTACATTTCTAGGATAGCTTTAAATCCCACTGCATGTACTACTATACTCACTTGCAGCAGCAGAGTTGCAAAACGTATTTATTAAGCCATGAAAACTGGCAGATTCAAAACCATTATGTTCAAACACGCCACCATCTAACTCTTAGTTGTTTCAGAAATTGTTTTAGACAAACTGGGAAAAGGTTAAGGGACTTAATTTCTACTAAATACCAAGAGCTTTTAAATCAGTGGAGTGCTGAGAAACTAGTAAATGGAATGTCATCCTGACAAGAATGTTATTTTTTTTTTAATGCTTCTGTTGCCAAACCTCTAACGAGACAGGCTTCTTAAATTCACTGGGGGTCAGAAGTTTAGTTTATTCAGCAAGAATAACACTATTAACAGCTACTGCTCTTTCATGTTGCCACAGTTAACACCCACACATTTCTAGTCCAGTTGGTACAGGAAAGTCAAGGAAAATTGGAGTGGCTACAGGCAGTTGTCTCTGCAGGGATATTTTAAAACTAAATTTATAATGTGCTTTAAAAACAATCTAAAAGGATCAATGCACCTTATGAATCTGCTGTAGACATACGCAGAGAGAAAGATGGATGGATGAAAGCATATAAAAGCAAGTAAATTTGACTCTCTCTATTGATTTTTGAGAGGACAGTGTAGAGCACTTAGGTGAGGTCTTATATATCACTGCAAAGGACCAAGTGCCATTATGCATATGTCTGCAGGATGTCAGGATTTATCATGAAGCAATGCACTGCTGTACTCTTTCATTTTATCCTTTTGTAAATAATCTTGTTCTCACAGTTGAGGATGGTAGACCACTAAGAATTAAATAACCCTCAAAAACAAAGAATAATCATAGGAAGACTATCAAACAGCTAAACTAAAGAAATCCACTACTATTAAAACAAAAATTGCAGTAGGTTAGGGTATACACGCAGTATTTTTAGCATTAGGTAGAGAAAACTTTTTTTTTAGTAATGAGCTTTTAAAACCACGATGGAAAAATCTGCATATCACAGTATAATCCTCTTTCTACTTGGTTCTAAACCACAGACAATCACATTTATTATTTGCCAGAGCTCTCCAGCTCTCCTGTTTGGCTGAATGCTGTCAGAGGGTATTACAGAAATCGGTCTGGTTTAGAGAGCACTTCTTCACCATATGGAACATCTCTCTTAGAACATTTTCCTCATGTAGCATGTTTCAAACAATCAAATTGCAAAATTATCACAAGCAACAATCAGAATTTCTGAGGGGTCTCTGGGGCTTCTATCACTATATAATGGTGCTGTTTTTTGCGTATCTGAATTTCAACATTCCCAGCTTTTTAAGTGTTAATCCAAGCCATGCACAAATCCATGCCTTTCACAAACATTCCTCTCCTCATACACATTTAAACTGCATACTTATGCTACTCTGTTAGCTTTTTCTTCATATACTTTTCTCAACAAAGCAGTGGGAAACAATTCTGTTGCTAATTGGGGTTACATGGTGGGTCATTTGGAAAATATGATTGCTTAAGTAATAAAAAATCTGCCATTTGTTTTTATAAGAAAAAACCCACTGTCTTAGCTAACAACTATGACTGCCACTGTACATTATGTTCCCACAGACTAGTAAGTCAGGCAGAGTCTCCTCGTTAAGATATCTAATAGACAAGCCTAATGGAAAAAACAATTTACCTTCTTCAGTTTCATGCCACACAATTCCTTCCAAGTTCACGCTGGTCCCAGGCTCACAGGGTCCAAGGCATTCAGGTTCTGTTACTACTCCAACTTCGTAAGTATTTACACCCACTGAACGAGTCCGTACCAAAAGCTGCTCAACTGGTGCTGCAATATTGGATGAAGATGGAGAAAAGTAGGAAGGCAGAATCTGAGGTGTGATACTGCTGGAAATTGGAGGTGGAGGTGCAGGCACTGTAAACAGGGGATCAACCTGAAAACAACAGACAAACTTACTATAACAGTGCTGTGATATTTAATTAAATTAAAAAAAAAAAGCTAAAAACAAACAAAAGAAAACTCAGTTTGCTTACACTACATTTGTGTGTGCAGGGGTTTGGTGTACTACGGGCAATTTCAGTTTTGAGTTCAATTTTGTTGACATCAGTCCAAATGCTGCACATGAAGAATTATGTACAAAAATATCTATCGTGCTAAACAAGGCAAATTGCTAGGTTTCTACAAGTCTGTTCCCTATTGCTATAGACACTAGCATGAAATAACAGTGGATGGTTTTTGTTGTTGTTGTTGTTTTTTTAATTTGTTTTCTTCTTCTTTCTTTTTTTAAAGAAAAAGGGATTAAGGCCAATCTTTTCTCTTAGTGCTAACAGAGACTGATTTGTAGATGGAAATTTATTTGGTAAATGGGCAACTTCATTTTCTATTCAAATTAAAACATAATAAAAACAGTACAAAGACAAATGACTTTTTTTTTTTTTTTTTTTTTTTCATGTGCATCATAGAGAAACAGGTAACATTTATGTCTTTCTACTTGAAATAACAGATTAATCTGTCCAAACCATGTGATTGCTAAGGGCTTTCAAAACGTGCAACAATACAATTTGCCAAACAAACAGTCTGTACACAGACAACTGAGATGCAGCCTGTATGTATTTAAACACTTCAAAGTTATCCTTCCCATATGACTTCCAACATAACCAATAGCAGAGCTCCTGCATAAATATTTGGCTTGAGTGTTTTTGGTATTTTACTGCAGTGATAAGGTCTTTTGACACATAAAAGACAATCAAAGTTATCATTGTGTCCACTCAAATAGCTAAAGCAATCATCTAAACCATGAAAAATTCATGTTTACTTGGGCACCTTGATCACAGACATCAGACCAAGAAATCTTTCCTCAGTCCAGCAGTTCAGAAGATGGATGCTGTCTAGCTACTTACAAAATGAGTTTCAAGTATCTTTAAGTCTATGTTATTTTTAATTTTGGACATCTCTAGGAAGGTTCAAGAGGAAAGACACAATGACTCCATGCACATTATCATCTCTGTTTCATTCAAGTGTATCTTAACATAGATCGTAATTAAAGCAAAGCAAGCAAATGGAAGACAAAGAGAAAAAAGGACTGAGGAGAGTTATTCCTCTACCACATATTCTTTGTATCCTGGATCTGATCACTAAATCACATGGCCATTTTTCATAACGAGCAAATGAAATGAAAATCGAATGGCCATTGCAACAATTAATTATTGTGCTTCAAGTTTCACTCATACAGACAACCGACATCATGTGCACAGGTCCTGAGTGTGATAAATATTAAAAAAAAAAAACATTTTGTGTGATCTTTATATAATAAACCTGGATTCTAATCTTGACTATGCTAAAACTGGGGAGAAGACAGGAGGGACTTACAGCCAATCCAGAAGTAATGCTTCCCATTTATTTCCATGTAAACTACAACTGATACAAACAACACAATAACACTGAGCAAATTCTCTGCTACAAAGCACTATTTTTTCACACAGTCATCACCATTAGCTATGCATTTTCTCCAGTGATGAACAAGAGCCTGCATGCTGTGCTCATACTAATCTGTGTGAGCACAGATGACACAGTTACTGTTACTGCTGTCACATCTGAAACACACCACCCACTGCCTCACTGTGCTGCATCCGCTGTTGAGTCTCTGCAAACATTCAGAGCTGATGAATGCCAATAGGTGCAAGTTTTTCCTGCATGCGGGAATTAAATTCCGCACCTTTGCTTCATATGCAGTTCCATGCCAGATGCCATTCTGTCAGACTGCCCCTCTGCTGCCATCTGTCACACGGCAACAACATGGAATGAAATATTGTTGGGAAGGTTCAATGTCTACTGCCATCTCACCAACATCTGCCTCTGACGTTGTGGGCCACCATCATAAAATAGGCATTACTTTTGGAGAAGCCCTCAGAAAATATATAATATGCATATAAAGTAACAAAACTTAATTTTTAATGTTTTTTATTAAAACATAAAAAAATAGAAGGACCCAAGCCATAACACTGCTGGGATACGTGATCTGGTTGCTGTGAAATTAATGCATCAGTCTGGTTCAGTGGTGGTAGTTGCAGCTCTTAGTGATTTCCCAAAGTGTTTGTCAGAGATTTTTGATGAAATGTTACTCTTTCTGTACTTTGTCCTTCAAAACAGTTGTTCACAAATGTACCTGCCGCCAAAAATCGATGATGTGAATAAGATGTAATTATGAAGTAAGGGCTTTTCTTTCTGATAAGAGAGGGCTTGTAGAAGTCCAGTAAAGAGGCACTATCACCTTTTGACTGCTACTCAATTTATTCTATTTGAAAATTCACGAGTAATGTATTTATGCTGACTGCAAATGGAATCAGAAATAAACCGCCAAACTGTTCCTTTTTTCAGCAATCTTGAAACCTGTTCTCAAATTCCCTTATCACACAGGAAAGCATGGCTGCATATCTTTTGCTGTTCATGGGGTTGTGTTTAGCCAATGTATCAAAATCATAAACTGGCTTTCCATCACTTTAGCTGACCCTGCACTGTGCTTTTCTGAGCCCTGCTTTCAGCCCAAATGGGCTTCACCATGCACTGACGATGAGTTGGTGCTGAGGGGCCAAAGTGGGCTGTGAGCTGTGCTGGGCCATAGGTTGGACATGCCTGCCTCGTGCAAGCTGGAGGAGAACCCAACCAGCAACTGGCAGGTAAATGCAGCCTGCTGCTGTAGAATGAAGGTTTGGACTGCCTTTATAAAATCAAAGATTGCAATTGAGTGGCCTGCTTGAGAGTTTACATGGTGCTTCAGAAAGCTGTGCAAAACCTCCCCGTATATGTGCAACATCTTTCCTCCATAAAACATGCTCATCATAACGCAAGAGGAAAAAATGTTTGTTATTATCATTACTAGACTAGCAAAAGTTTTGAATGAATGCAGACTAAAACAACAGATGTTTCTTTACGAACAGTGAGGTAGAGCTAAGAAGAAGGCATGGATCTGGCAGTGTACCCTACCGAGCAACCTGCTACAAATATCTGTGCTCTGTTCTGATTAACACAGACCTGCTAAGAAATGCTCTTGTTTTCCTAGAGGACGAGGCCAAAACATGGTATCTGCTGCAGAAGAGTCTGCTGCTCTGCTGTGCCCAGAACCAAGCCTTTGGCAGTTCACAGAATCACAGAATGGCCTGGGTTGAAAAGACCACAATGCTCATCTAGTTTCAACCCCCTGCTGTGCACAGGGTCGCCTGGTCACCAGACCAGGCTGCCCAGAGCCACATCCAGCCTGGCTTTGAATGCCCTCAGGGATGAGGCACCCACAACCTCCTTGGGCAGCCCAACTCTCTGAGGTTCCAGAGAGCTGCACAGTACTATAACCTTACTCACAAGAAATACAGAGCTCACACGTTGCTCTGACCTGCCATGTTTTAAAATCATCCCACCACATTTCGCAGTCAGGCACAGCAAAGTATGGTTCTCAGTGATCACTGTGATGACACAACAGTTTCCACGAGTTCTCCAAAAGGGCACTGATGTAACCTATTACAGACAGAGGGAGGCAGGAAGGCCACAGTCTCCACTGGAAAGCAGGCACATCAGACTAACATCTGGTGGTGGCAGACTGTCAAACTGAGGAAAGTTAATGTCAAAAGCAGACGCTGTGCAGTTTCTCACTGTTATTTCTGCATGATTATTCCCAGGTGTTGGTGCATACAGAGCAGGAGGCTCTGCTTACCACATGAGCCAATGTAAGAAATTAAAAAAAAAAAAAAAAAAAAAAAAAAAAAAAACAACCTAAAATATTCAAGCAGTATTTTCTTCATTCACCCAATTCCAAGAGATTTTGAGAGCTGATTAGTAACAAAGGCTATAAAGCTGGAGTGTTATTCGTGGCACCTTTTCACTGCCAAGTGTTTGATTGCATCAGAGAGCTATGGCTCTCAGTAATAAAGCTCACAGAGAATGAAGCATGTCTGCCAGGCACTGTAGTCAGTGCTCCATGGAATGTTCCCCTATTTGAACATGACAAAAAAATCTTCTGGTGGTTGCATGACTTTAGACTTTAGCATGACTGTGTGTGGGAGAGAATGTGGATGAGAGGAAATGTCATTCTAACTAGAAACAGGCAGACTTCATAACAAATTGGGTTTGTCTTCAGTTATTCTAGCACTTCTCATGCTGAAATTAAATTCTGCTCGTCGAAACTGATCTTTCCTATGCAGTGTGAATTTCTTAAATCCTGCTTACAAATGGGTATTTTCTGTCCTTTGCACATAATTTCCTGACAACCAGGAAGGATTTCAGTGGGCAATGCTGAGTTCAGCATGCTGGGAGGAAGAGCACATAGTATCATACAATTGCCAACACTCATATTCTGATTCCAGCGAGGATGGAAGAATTTAAGACCTTTTGGAATGCACTCTCTCATGAATTCCCTTGGGAAATCCACCTGAATGAAAGAAGAACAAAATCCAAGGAACATCTATGGTTCTAATTGCCATAGTACTGATCTGACCAGAAACAAATTCACAGTATTACTCAAATTAATGCATTCTGTATCTATGTATGTCATTCATTTCTACTGTGAAAACTTTCAGAGGGTGAATGTCCAAATATTTCTGCCATCAGTCCTGAAATACAAGCTAGAAAATAGCTGCCATGCAGACAGGCCACATAATGTGAAATTCTAACGTGTGCAATAACATTAGTAGACACTGAAAGTATGTGTAGATCCACATCATTAATGACCATGTATCTCTGAAGATGTATCTCAGTGAAGACATAGCCTACCAGCCTAAGACCAAGTGAAGTCATACTCCAGCGTCACCCACCACATGATTTTGAAACACACATACAAAAGCCATTTAATCCAACTACCAATACAAAGGCTGGAGAAAGGCAGAGCAGCAGGTTTACGGCTTAGCATGACCTCTTGCTGTTTAAGTTGTGCAGATTTTACTTTGA